GCTTGGAGGTAAGGTGCCTGAATGCCTGCAGGTGTAGTGTTAGAAGGGCTTGGCTGTAAGATGCTGAAGCGTCTGCAGGTGTAGTGTTAGAGCGGCTTGGAGGTATGTGTTCGAGTGGTCAGGAGGCAGTATGGCCGCCAACAGCTGGGCAATTTTCTTTATATTCGGGTAAAGTAGAAAACATCCCCACCTCTAACTACATCCCTCAGCTGTGTTGGCTTGGAACAATACACACAGGATTAAGATAAATTTTTACCATGTGGTGTATGGATAAGGTCAATAGTATATATATATATATATATATATATATATATATATATATATATATATATATATATATATATATATATAGAGGTAAGAGAGAGAGAGAGAGAGAGAGAGAGAGAGAGAGAGAGAGAGAGAGAGAGAGAGAGAGAGAGAGAGGGAGGAAGGGGAGGGAGGGAGAGAGAGAGAGAGAGAGAGAGAGAGAGAGAGAGAGAGAGAGAGAGAGGTGTCGGGGACAGGGAGGGAGAGAGAGGGAGAGAGAGAGAGGGAGAGAGAGAGAGAGAGAGAGAAAGAGAGGAGAGAGAGAGAGAGAGAGAGAGAGAGAGAGAGAGAGAGAGAGAGAGAGAGAGAGAGAGAGAGAGCGAGCATAATTAACTTTTTGTTTTTAATATGCAAGAGAAAAATCAATAAATGTTACTATTGGTCTTGAACTAGCTACCCAATGGGTTATGGGGTAGAAGCTGCAATTTTTTGCATTGACAAACACAAACGGAAACACAGTTATTGTACCGCAACGCTTGCTCATAAATACCTATGTCATCTTGCACTGCACCTGATGACGCCGACAACGATGACAAAGAGGAATTTAAAATACCATCAATCACCATGATGGTTTCAGTACAGTGAATCCATATCTTCATATCAGCTCAACTGCAGTAACCCCTATTTTCAATACTTTTCTCTGCTAACTAATTTATTTCTAAAACCTTTGTATTCATTACTTTGATATTCTCTAGACAGCATTTTTCTTATCCAAAACATAAATGTGTCTCAATTTAAAAGTTAAAAATGTCAGAATATTCAACTCTGCTGTCAAAGCCGTGTTGCTGTGTGCATCAGAAACGTAAAGAACAACTGGAACAATTACTGTCAAGCCCTGTTAATAGAAACTCACTTGCGAAGAATACTTGGTTAACGTGAAAAAAAGCAAACAAACATTACGGTCCCATCAGGGATGTATTATTCATAATATATACATTAGTCTCCGGTGAGCACAAGTTGTTTTTAAATGAACTCTTGATTTGTCCTACCCTTGGAACTTTTACTGTATTAATAAAACTACAAATATGCAAGAACTGGAGGGAGCAAAAATTTTAAAACTTAACTGCCTTGACTGAATCTGTAATACAGAGCTCAGGTGAAGAACTTAATACTTTTTAGCAAATCAAGTAAAGAAAAGGCATTAGTGCTGGATATGACACTAAGAAAACCTGTTATACTGTAGCTAGAATGTCCTTTCCCTGAAACTCAAGAGTAAAAGAAGCAGAGAGAGACCACTGAATGATATGCAGATGTTATGGGGGAAGCTACAGGATATAATGAAAGACAGGAAGACTTGAGATGTAAGCTGAGGAGGATCAATGCTTGCTTGCTTCTATGCTCCATGGAAAGGAATATGGGGTGGGGGGGGGGGGGTTAAAAAGAGAAATGAAGAACCCAAATTCTTTAGCTATTTTACTATGCAAGTATACATCACAAGCCAAACACTTCCTTATGCGACTGATCAATTAATATCAAACTACATATAAACCACTGAAAACCTTCCTGATCTGATTATCTGTTATGTTCTCTCATTTAGTGCACACCCAAAAAAAATGAGGCTGAGCAGTCATTTACAAGACATAATGATTCCTTGGGTGAGCCTAGTATGAGATGTGTCAGCTCTGTATTTACGGAAGCTTCCTTTGATGGCAGGGAATGGCTATGTTCTCTCCATATTTTAAACCAGAGGGCCAATCAGTGTGCATTAGTTAAAAGGATCTGAGAGAAGGCACTGTTTGTAGATGAGAGGTGAAGATAATGACACAAAGATACTGTAAAATGCCCAGTGGAACTGAAAGTTGAGTACATTTTTGAAGAAGCTGGACATCTTCCAAAAGGTGCAAATATTACAACTCTGCTGTAAAAAAGCACAACATTATTACATCTCACTCTCTCACACAAACACAAAACGATCACTTGGCAGCTTAAAACAACTTAAGTCTTTTGAAAAAGTATCCGACCTGTGGCCTTGACGACTACAATTACTCAGCTGACAGTCTAAGACAATAACCTTCAAAATAGTCTTCTTGAGACTATACACCCTTCTTTCAAGCATTTCAGAGAGGCCTTTTTGGGAATGGAGTACAGCTAAAATGTTGTGTTCAGTTTAATGTCTTCTTGTCACTTAAACTGGGTCCCTCTCAGCTGTACTCCTGGCATGTGTGGAGAATATGGAGCTAGAGTATTATGAACCAGAGGAATGATAGTCTCCCCCCTAATCGCTGGGAAACCTTTCAGATCACTGAATAATATTTTCTCTTCACCCTATCTTTTGACCACTCCTGCACCTCCATTCTGTCCCTTGCATGTATTAAAGTTGATAAAATTCTAACCTGCACAGTTCGTAGTAACTGCAGTAGCCATTAGGCTACTGCCAGACTTCACACCCCCCCTCCCCACATTTTTTTTACACAGTAGTAAATGGGTGCAGTAAAGAGATGTTTTAAGTCTGTTTCTGGGGGGAGGTGGGGAGGGGGGGGGGGGGGGGTTGTCTCTAAAGATATGATAAACAGTGCTGAAAGAAGCCGGGACTGGATTCCATAAAGAAATCTGCACTGAAAGGATGATACAGGAAAGAATGGAATGAAGGAATCGACTGCAAACACTATGTGATGGTAAGCAGCACAATAAAATGATGAGTTCTGCTTTTCATTTTGTCAAATAACTCACTAGTCCACCAACATATGGTGATGTCTACAGTCACTGTGTGCATTAAGATTTGGTAATTAACCAACCCACCATCATATGGTGATGTCTACAGTCTCTGTGTGCATTAAGATTTGGTAATTAACCAACCCACCATCATATGGTGATGTCTACAGTCTCTGTGTGCATTAAGATTTGGTAATTAACCAACCCACCATCATATGGTGATGCCTACAGTCTCTGTGTGCATTAAGATTTGGTAATTAACCAACCCACCATCATATGGTGATGTCTACAGTCACTGTGTGCATTAAGATTTGGTAATTAACCAACCCACCAGCATATGGTGATGTCTACAGTCTCTGTGTGCATTAAGATTTGGTAATTAACCAACCCACCAGCATATGGTGATGTCTACAGTCTCTGTGTGCATTAAGATTTGGTAATTAACCAACCCACCATCATATGGTGATGTCTACAGTCTCTGTGTGCATTAAGATTTGGTAATTAACCAACCCACCATCATATGGTGATGTCTACAGTCACTGTGTGCATAAAGATTTGGTAATTAACCAACCCACCAGCATATGGTGATGTCTACAGTCACTGTGTGCATTAAGATTTGGTGATTAATCAACCCACCGACATATGGTGACGTCTACAGCCACTTTGTGCATTAAGATTTGGTGATTAATCAACCCACCAACATACGGTGATGCCCAGAGCCATTGTGTGCATTAGGATTTGGTAATTAACATACGGTGATGTCAACAGACACATGCTGATTAAGATTTGGTGAGTAACTAACTCATCAACATACGATGATGTCAAAAGACGCTGTGTAAATAAGGATTTGGTGATTAAATGTCAACAGACATTGTGTAGATTAAGATTTGGTGATTACCCAACACACGCTGATGTCAAATGATACTGGATTAAGATTAACTAATCCACCAATATACGGTGATATCAAATGACACTGGATTAAGATCTAGTGATTCACTAAACTTCAACACTTATATCAACTGACACTGGATTATCATTTTTTTTATTAACTAACCCAACAATATACAGTGAAGTCGACAGACACTGTGTGGATTAAGATTTGGTGATTAAGTAACTCATCAATATGCAGTGATATCGACAGACACCAGATTTAAGATTTGATGATTAACCAACTCATCAACACACAGTGATTTCGACAGACATTGGATTAAGATTAGGTGATTAACAAACCCATCAACATATGATGATATCAAATGATGTTGGATTAAGATTTGGTGATTAACTAACCCACCAACATACGGTGATATCAACTGACATTGGATTAGGATTTGGTATTTAGCTAAACCCCTAACACACAGTGATGAGAAAATATACAGAAGAGATTAGGAAACAATCAATGGCAGCTGACACAACATGACAGCTATATCAGTAGAATGTTTACCACTCAAGGCTAAACACTTAAAACTAAAAAGCTGCATCCCTTTGATGCAGTTATTTTTTTAACACAGGCAGCTAACACTTAAAACTTGTTTAATTACGGCATAAAATAAGTACACAAAGCAAAATTGGCACCTCACAGAAATGTAATCACAAAACATATCTCTCGCTAAAGAAATTATGCAACCTTGCAAGGGAATACAAACATATATTGTCTGCATTCATGTTCTTGTGTGTCTTCCTTTTTATTTTGTATTCTACTTATATCTTCTTCTTCTGCGTTTCAACTTAAACGGACAGATGATGTTCTGTGATTTACAGCTAGGCTGCGATATCTGCGCCTTTCAGTACGACACTTCCAACTTAAGTAAAACCCTAAATAGCTGTCTAGTACGATAACTTCTTAGGGAGTAGTGGGTCTATTCTTTCCTCTCCAAAATCCATGCATGGACTGGCAACATCTGAACCATTAGTTTTCTCATGCTTGTATAAACTACAATGTGTATGAATGAAAGTCTGACGTGGATGTGTTTACATGCAAATTTTCTAATGCACTAATTACACAAACTGTTACAATATACAGATCATAGCAACAAATAACTCACCATAGCATTAGGGTCCGGAGCAGTGGACCCCTGGTTCATGTTGGGTGCACTGGATCCTTGGCCTCCACCAGATGTATTACCCATGTTAAATCCTGCAGACTGCATGAGGGATTTCGGGTTTGTCTGAAATGCAAGACCAATAAAGACAATGACAAAAAGATGAAAATTAACAAACTAGAAATAATCTCCCTGGCGTTCCATTAGCTTTTTCACAATCAGAGTTATTACAATGTAGTTAATGCACAAGGAGAGAAATGACTGCTAGTAAGAAAATCAAAAAACACACAGGGTTGGCCAGATTTCTGTAGTATGCTATAATCAAAAGTAATAAGTAAGACCAGTATGTGTGTCATGCTTCAAGCTTCAAGTGTTCATTGATATTCATGAGGAAAAGTGATACCGAGATCAGGAGTTGCTTGGGACTATAACAGTTTAGACAATGTACTGTACAAAAGAGAAGCAAACAACAGTAAATATTTAATTATTTATTATGCAGGAGCTCAGGACGCAGTGTCTAGACACTAGCCTGCCAACTCAAAGGTCTTGAGTTTGAAACTGCAATGTGGTGTGTGTGTTTAAAAAAAAAAAATTTGACTTTGGCTCCCAGGATAACCCAGGTTAAAATGGGTATCAGCTTGTATGTAATAAACGGTGCTTACTAAGGAGGGTTAGGGGGTGACTGGCAACTACCTCATCTCAAAATTATACACCTCCAATATTCAACCAAGTACTCAATATGCTGAGCTGGGTTTAGGGTCTATGCTTTATTAGGAGATGTTTGCACAAGCAGAAGGAGGAGGTGCACAGATCACAAGACCCACCCACAATCTTGCCAATATCCTGAATCAACTCTACTTTCTGTGCTATTCACAGAAAAGGGTCCCTAGTCTGGGCAATATTGCCAAGATTAGCATGTCACTGTAAATATGAAGTTTTAGTACTAGTAACCCTGCTGTTTAATGAGCTTGAAGTGGATAATTCCAGCTCTGAATGTCTCCTTATATATATGATACTCTGGTACCAGGTTCAGAAAAAGTTTCAACACCAGCCTCGAAGTGATAAATGCAAGTCCATTTCAGGCTTCGGGAAAAAATATCAAAGCACAACTTAGTCTTTTGGAGAATTCTTTATATTCTTTTTATATACATAATTCTCCAAAAGACTAAGTTGTGCTTGATATATTTATATATTCACACACACGCGCATGAGCAAAAAAGGAACAACTTGAGGATAGTGGCCGGAGTTTATCACTGTATCAATGCAATGAAATGTTCAGAGAATAACTGTGATATGGAATTTGTCAAACAGCACCATCAGGTAGATTCATTCTTTGGTCTTGTCATAAGACAGAGAAAACTGTAGTTCATCAATGCATTTTGTAAGTTGTAAAGGAAGAAACGTGAATGGGGCCAGAGAGAGATGTTGATTGTGTATTTTCAGCCAAAGTATTAGAAGAAATAATACTATAAAATAAACTGTCCAACGATTGTTTACAACAACAAAACAGTTTGATATGTGTATTAATGTAACACAACCTAGATACACAAAAAGATACTCACATCTTCCCGTTGCTTGTCATCCCACATGAATCCAGACTGGCCTGAGCTCATGCGATCATTCATTCTGTCTGGCATCCTATCGCCCATACGGTCTGGCATCCTATCGCCCATACGTTCTGGCATTCTATCGCCCATACGGTCTGGCATCCTATCGCCCATACGCTCACCCATCCTATCTGGCATACGATCTTGTATGCGGTCACCAAAGCGATCAGACATCTGAAGAAAAACAAATTTATTTTTACCATACTCACTACGAAATAGATAATTGAGCCTACAGTTAAGGTTAGCAACATAAAAATATTTCACTTTTAAAGTGGTGTCCAATTTGAACCAACGTATACTATTTATCTACAATATGGAGTCTACGATATAGTGTTACAGGAAGAAAGATAAGCACGTATACAAAGAGAAAGTTGATACAGGGTGATATCAGAAATAAGGTACGGAAGTGAATTAAGAAAGAGGCAGACGCAAATTAGTGGAGACGAAGGTGTTAAAACTGGAGAGAAGTCAGAGGGTAGACAGATCTGAGAGAAAACAGATTCTGACAGGGGAGTGAGGATATGAGATGGGGAAAGTATTAAAAAGAAGAGATGTGAAAAAAAGGAAAGATGTGAGAGATGACAGAGAGCTGAAAGACAGAAGTGAGGGAAGATGAAAGTAGTGTACAGAAAGAAGCACAGATCAAATATGACATAAAAGGAAGGTGTCAGGAAAGGGGTCAGCTGAGGCAGAGAGATGAGATTTGGTAGATGTGACTCCCCAAGTGGGTTCCGGGCCCCATTTTGAGAGGGGCCATAACAAAAAGCATGTCATAAGATGTGACTAATTAAGGATGTTCACAGCCAGTGAAAGCTAAGAAAAAGCACATATGATAATAAAGAGAGAATCTAGACATGAGTAATGAGAATATCAAAGTCAAACTTATTAACTACTGCACTGTCAAAACATGCAACATCTTACTGAACTCTGTGTTTGCAAACTACATACCATCATTTCCTCCCGTCCAGTCAACACAGGCATGTCCATTTGCGTTCCTCCTCTACCCCTGGCCAACTCCTGTTGCCTCATTATCATCATGGTATCAGCACGACGACGTTCTTCCTGCTGGGCTCTCTCGCGCTCCTCTTGCTGGTGTCTGAAAAGAATGTTAAACTTGTCTAATAACTTTACATGTCAAAGGCAAAATTGCTCTTCTATTAGAAACATACATAGAAAATAGCTAATTTAGTCACAATTAAAAAAAAAAGTTAATGCTAGGCTCTTGTTTGTGAGCCCCAAGGATGACTGAGATTCTAACTCTTCTAAAGATGTCACCCCGAGAAGCAACAAAAGCTTCCAGTCTGGTCTTTTTTAAGACTATCATGGCTTTACTGCAAACAGGAAAAGGAGAGACATTTTCTCACTGTGACTCAATAGGATCTTTTCCCTTTACATTTTAAATATGGATATATTTAGTGGGGGGAAGAGAGGAAATCAGGAAAGACGGATGGAAGAAGAGAGGAGAAAAATGAATGGTGGATGATGGAAAATGACAAATATTCTCAAATGTGCAACACAAGTAAGTATTTTGATATTAATTTTAGAGTGGAATTATATTTTTATTGTTCTTTCTTTGCGCTCACCAGCTGTAAAAACGACTGGAATGTTCTGGGTGTTTGTCAACCTCTGGACAAATGTTCCAACAACTCAGTGTTTTCGTGCACATCCATTTCACACATCTGGCTTATCTGTATGCATACTTTTTGGTTTCTTGCCTCTCATGCAGATGTACTCATGACTTCGAAGGATGCTCCCAATTAGACAACTTCTAAGACATGCTTGTTTTGGAGGAAGTGGGTCTTTTCTTGTTTCCCCATAAAGGGGTGCCGGAACACACACGGAGATTATATTTTAAAAGCTGTGAGAGAAAGTGACTCCAAACTCACACCCCATGAGAGGGGGGAAAAGACAACTAATAACTAGATAGGAAGAATGAGAGAGATGAGATACAGAATATACACGGTCTGACAATTAGGTAATGAGACTAATTCTATAGAAATTAAAATATTCAACAGCTGAAGATATAGACTATTTTATTCAAAGTAAGCCCCTTGTGCGTTGACACAGCGAGTGGCACGATCTAACAAACATTGAATCGACCTCTGTAGTTATTATGTTGTTAAAGTCGATGTTGCGGCTTTTCAATATCGTCAAAGAAGCATCCTTCCAATGGTAACTTTGATTTCAGGAATAGAAAATAACAGAGAGACAAATCGGGGGAATATGGTGATTGGTTGAGAACACACAATTGATTTTGGGCCAAAAACTCCTGTACAACTACTGCTGATGTTTTTGGTCATTAGACAACGAATATGGTACAAACCACCAAGTAACGTTTTTCTTGCCCAAATCTTCCACTACAATTTTATGAATGGTCTCTGTATTAACACCAAATTCATTTGCCATCATCCTCACAATCAAACAACGATCTTCTTGTGGCCCTTCTCTGACTTTTGCAATAAATTTGTCATTAAGAACAGAAAATGGGCGTCTAGATCTAGTTGCATTAGTAATGATTTCCACACCACTTTTGAATCGTGAATACCACCTGAAAATCTTTGCACAAGATAATTATCCCCATAAAGTTGTCGCATCAATTCAACTGTCTCAATGGCACTTTTTCTGACTTTTTAACAGAATTTAATCTTAGCTTTTTGCTCCATACTGATTGCGCAACAATGCACCTCTCTGACTAGCTCAGAAAAATGTCGGAATGTTTGTTGTCTGCTTGTCAGGCAGCGATTAAAAGTTGCCAGATCACAGATGAAATTTGCCTCTTTGGATTCCATGCTTTGCTTCATAGATGGCATTTTTGTTTTGGCCATAAAAAAATCAGTCTCATTACTTAATTGTCGGACCTAGCACTTGCTGAAATTAGATGTGTTGGGTCAAAAGATGCCTAGCTGTAACCCCAACACAGGATACCAAAAACCCATTTAAAAGTGAAAGAAGAAGAAAAGGTCCACAAGTATGGCAAATTCCTTTAACTTTAAACTTGCTCAATCTTTAGAGTTACTTATTACATCCTAACCAGCTTCAACTTAAGTAGTAAATGCTTCCCTCATGTGTTAGCTGTTAATGGGGCTGATAAGGGAAGCAAACAAAATTACTGCTGAAATCATGTGGGAACAACATAGTGCTGATTGAGAAGTAGAAGATCAAATTGTTCAGTCATCTCATTAGAATGCAGCCACAACAAATCACAACAAATCTAACACAGGTGCTACATTGAAAAAGATCCAACTTGAAAGCAAGAGGGTGTCCGAGTTATGGACTGATGACATTAAAGATATTCTTCACTGGCACATCAAGCAACGGATCACCAACTGTTCCTACCACACAATGCTTAAGGGCAAAAGTAGAAACTAATGATGATTAACAAGTCTTCAGAGGGCTTCAAGAGAGGTGGCTGAGAGCCAAATGCTCTGTTACAAGATGAAACACAAATCTTTGGTCTGCAAAGACAATGAAACAGGTACAGGGAGTCAGAAAGCATACCATGTAAGTAGTAAGAAATTAACATTCTGCTTGGAACTACAAGAGTTTAAACACACTGATAAAAACAATTACACAAATTTTGATAAAATTAAAAGAAAAAAAAAATAAAGATAAAACTAGATGATAAAACAAGCAGAAAAAACCCACTGATAAAACAGAAGATAAAAACACTGATAAAACTAGATGACAACAACAATAATAAAACTAGATGATACCAAGAATAATAAAACTACATGAACATTCTACCTTAATTCATACTCCTGCTGCCTCCTGAGTCTGTCCTGGTTTCGCAACTCCTCAAGTCGTCGTAATTCCTCCTGCTGCCGAGCCAGTTCTGTAGAGAAACAAATATGATCCTGTATAGTGACTTACTGAAAATAAAACTTACAGGTAATAATTAACAAACAACCATTCCTTGTTTATTCTGCAAGCAGGGGACTCATGCCAAATACTCCTGCCATTTTATTAACCTTTTCAGCTCTCTCCATGAAGATTTTCATTTCCTAATCTAATTTTCTTTGCTGTGTGATTTTGGTCTTCTTTGTGGCGTAGAGGTTACTAAATGCATTTAACAATTTCATGACCCTTCAGTTTAAGGGTTCAATTTCCAAGCAGACAGTTAATATTATTTTTTTTAAACCCTTACCTGTGGTTTTTGGATAGTGGTACGAGAGTTGCACTGTGGAAGAGATTAGGTGATTGTAATATTTCCAAAGATAGCAGTGGGTGCACTGTATCCTACCCATATTATGGAAATGGCACAGACATTTGTGGTGTTGTCTATACAGGCAGACAGACAGAGAATTAGACATGCAGTGAAGTCAGTAGGTAGATGATGCATGGACATCATGTAGATAAACAAACAGGTGGATGAATGAACTGATGAATGGATGTACAAACAAGCAAACAGGCAGAAATGTGGAGGAAAGATGGATAAATATACAACAGGCATTTAGATAAATAGATGGATATTATAGAGTATACAGATAGCTGGATAAGATAGACAGACAGACAAATGCCGATAAAGGAAATGAAGTCAATGAGACAAGTAGGTCCTGCAGCAGACAGACACAATGGCTCACCTTGTCTAATCTGATCAGCCTGGTACTCAAACAGAGCATTCTGCATCTCATCCTCTAGCTTCAGGCGAGCATCATCAATGTCCTTTTTCACCTGCTCGATCCGCTGCTTCTCCAGCTCATCCAGCTGCTTCCATCTCATGCCAAACTCAAATTCAAATGTCCCAGGTGGAGCAAACCTCGGCTCTTTCTCCCTTTCCCTAGTCAACAAAAGTTTCACCTCATATATAATAGATTTGACAAATGTATACTCGATCCAATACCACACTATCCCTACATAAAAATATGTTACTAAGATAAAATCTACAAAAGATGTACACTAGTTCAAACTAAGTGATTATTAATTTCAGAGGAACTTTAAGATACAAATATAATCCAAGACTAAGCTTGCATGGTGAATCACTGGTATCCTGAAACTATTTCCTCTACTAATATTAATATAAATAACTAATTGGGTTCAGCCTTTCAAAAATCCCTGTACTAGTTTCTTTTACCTGTGTTTATTATAACAACTGCACTGCCTACAATCATAAATGTTCAAAAATTAAACATTAAAGTGTCTGGAGCTGAGCTGAATTACAGCACTCAGGATATTCCCACTGGTGCTCCATTTCCATCCTAAGTGGGCTGTGCAGAAGATGAACCCAGAATTACCTGTTTTTTAAGCCCTCCTTTGGCAATTTGACGTGGCCCAATCCATTTAATAGTTATCAAAGATGCTGTCAGGAAATGGCGAGAGTTCTTGTCTCTCCAGCTCACATTCTAAATTTCACCTCATATTTTGTGGCAAAAAAATTGGCAGATCTGATCTGGTATCCTGGAAAATTTGTAGGCTGAGGTTCCACTGTATTTACAATTTATGCATTGACATCCACTATGGTGAATTACAAATCAGTAGGAGATTTAGAGGGCAAACTACTGTATCAAAATTAGTGTAGTGCAAGCAGGACATAAATGATAAATTGCTGACCTGGATTCATGGAAACAGGATGGCAGAGAGCGAGAGAAACAGAGAGAGAGAGGAAAAAGAGAGAAATGATAAAATTACTGCAAGCAGGTAAACAGCTGAGTGTCTATGAAATAGATGAGATGGCAACAATACTACTGAAATCCCATGCTGTAACTGTGGAACACTTTTGTTAACATAAGCAGGTCTTGCTAGTCCCATTGGCCATCACCAAGGGTGGTTCCCATACCTCCCTGTAGCACCATATAACCCTATTAACTGGAAGACAGAACATGCCAACTAACAACAGTTCTATGGTACAAAGCAGACTTACACAACCTTCACCGCTAGCCTTCCTCAATCTGTTTTCATTTATTTTTATCTCTGACCCCCACCCAACTTATGCCAAACTCTTTTAAGTTTTACAGTTTCTTTCATGTGTCTCCATATTAATTTAATGATTCATTCTTCTCTCTATTTCCTTTTAAGTGTCAGCCATTTTTTTTTGGCGTAGTGAGTTTCTGTGAAAGGACATTCTTGTATATTATTATCAGTTTTTCTCAATGTGTCTTGTTAACATCAGCTTCTTTTCCCTCCCTTTTGATTCACAGTATTTCAAACAACTCTCCAAACGCTCTGTATTAATATTCTGCCTTGCCATTTTCATTTCCTCCAATTCTGCACAGACAATAAATAATGATTTGAGTGTTGTTTCTTAGTAACTAGTGTTGTTTATTAGTAACTAAGTCAATCTCCATGTTTCTGATCCACATAGCAGTATTGATATAATGCAATATACAAAGTTTACTACCAGTCTTATTTTTTTCTCTGCTACAACCAAAACTTGTTAACTCATTACTTACTTTTTATACTGCTCATTTCTGGTCAACAGTTTCTCTGGCAGGCCATCTTCTTCGTCCTTATGCTCCAATGGTTCCACAAACACTGGCTTTGGGTCCCTGAAATACAAACATGACTGTAATGAGTAGCTCAGTGAAGTTTCTTCTTCAGCATTTAAGCAATAGTACATCTGCAGCTGCACTGACAGGTAAACCCAGTCTTCTCAAGGACTTCTCCACTTTAAAAACCATCTGGCAGTACAGATCTCTTTTGCTCCAGTCACCTGCTGATTATGCTCAGGGTTCTCAATTCCAATTCCACACGGACACATCTTTGTAGAGGTCTTTCAGATGTTATATATGGTCAAGTATCTAGCCTATACAAGTTCCACAGCATTGCTGTATTCTCCCGGCGTAAGTTCCAGAGCCTCACTGAGAGGGGAATGGGGGAATAGACCCATTGCCCTAACAATCATCTTGCAAAAGGCTATTAATCAGGGGGCTGCGGAAATCAGATGTCGACCAAAAGGTTGAGAGATTACAGCCTACCTGCACACCACAACATTACCATGCCAATTGCCCTTTTAAGAGTGAAAAAAAAAAATTCAGAAGAAGATGTGCCCTTAACCATGCTGGTGTGCATGTGTGATCATTTCTTGCCATTATGTGGTCTGGTAATTGTCAAATTTGTAATGCCCCTCTCAGTCTCAACCAGCTGCAGTGTCCACAGTGAAGGTTGGCCACACAATGGATCTCTCAACATGCTCTCTCTCGTCTGTGGCTCTCTCAGACTGCAGTTTGTCCATCTCTTGATGTTGTCCCAACTCTTGTATCATTGTCTACGTCTTGCTCTAGACCTTTCCCTTCAGCATAGTTTTTAAAGCATGTTATGTCTTTTAATGTAGTAAAAATATTTCAGTTATCTCTTTAAAACATTTTTTTCAGTAATTCTATTTTTTTTTTTTGCAGCATTTCCATAACCGCCATTTTAAGGGTTTTTTCTTTGTTTCCATAAAATACAACTTATTCTTCTGTGTATCCACATTTCCAGAGATTCTCATTGATTTTCAGTTGCCTGTTCATTTTTTTTAAAACTGCTTCATTTCTGTCTTTATCTGTTATTTATCACCATTGCCAGGAAACACTGCATGTCATTGGGTCACCAGCTGCTGCTGTCAGATCAACTCCACCTTTGATGGTCAGATGCAATGGAATTCATGATTGCAAGCATAAGGCCTGTATAGTCTGTCAAGTTCTGTTACCAGCTCTTTCCTGGTCTGCCTCTTTCCCTCTACTAAGCCCCAACAGCTTGTCTACCTTTTCAAAAGCCTGTAGAAAACACTGACTCTACAACACACACTACTTACATGCCCATCAAGAACACTCCTTCTGTAATACGTCTCAGTGCTGAGTTTGCTCCAGGCTTGCGCACAAACTCCACAATACCCTCCCCGGTAGATTTGCCTCTGTCATCTACTATAACAACACAGCGCTCCAGCTCACCAAACTGTGAGAACGAATGTTCCAGAAGTTCATTTGAGACAAAGGGGTGAAGATTCTTCACTTTCAAGGCAGCGCCATGGGTGGCAAAGCGGACTCGGAGAACACGACCTTTTCTCATGCTGCCATCCAGACCAGCTTTGGCAGCTTCAGCATTCTGCCGGTAATCCTGGAGTAACAAGCAGAAGATACATGTAGACTTCGGTAATCCTAATGTAAGAACAAGAACATAAATGTAGACTAAACAGGATGTGTGGCCAAATTTACCAACTATTTTCAATGGGTTTTCCCAAGATATTTTTGCCATTTTCAAGGTTTGCAGTGCATATTTGTGCAGATGTGCATGGTTAAATATACAGATGAGTGAGTGTAAACTAAGCTACCCATACACAAATTCTCACATTTGCAATATTATAGGCTTGACCATAAATACAGCAAGTGTAAGGGATGATGATTATTAATTTTAGCAACCCATACACACACAAAAATCAATTCGCATTATATGTAGTAAAAGAAAACAAAAAGGTCAGTTGTGTATTCATGTTTCTCCTAAGTCTGGGTGCAAATGCCTGACAGGCAAGGAACCAACAGTCTGCATATAAATAAGAAAGATCTGTAAAAGAGACATGCAAAAACCTCAGGTTTTGGAATAAGGCCAAAGTCTAAAAGTGAATGAACCAGAACTTTCCACCTAAGCTTACAGTTGGTGAACACTAAAAAGAAGTATTAGTCCATGTGTAGATCACCGGGTAATATCATATGTCATACAAGGATACAGAAAACAACCGATATATCCAAGGATTCTTTTAACAGAGAGAGCAATGAAAAGCTGCTTACTGAAAAAGTATGTGTGAAATGTTTTTCTGTATATATAAGAATGCAGGGAGAATGGTGAAGCAGCTAAGGTAGTGTTTTTTGTATGTGTGGGGGATAATGTGTGACAGAAACAAAAGTTAACATGAGAGTTTAACATATCAAAACCATTAGGAAGAGGCAGTAAAGGAACAGAGAAGTGAGTAAGCAAGAGAGAGAGATAGAGAGAGAGAGAGAGAGAGAGAGAGAGAGAGAGAGAGACAGAGACAGAGAGAGACACAGAGAGAGACAGAGAGACAGAATAGCAAAATAGAGGTAATGAAGATGGAAGGAAGAAAAAGAATGGGATGCAAGGAGATTGTAAGGACAGACGGAGACTGAGAGCAGAAGGTCGAGAGTAAGGAGAGGAAGTAAACAGACAAGAGGAAAAGGGGATAAGAGAGATGAAAGTGAGATAGAAAGGAGGGGAGGGAGAAAAGTGAGAGGGGCATGGAGAGATGGAAAGGGAGGAAGTGAGAAGAGAGGGATGAACAGGGAGAAAGGGTGCAAAAAACTACAAAAAAAACATAAAAGGGGAAATAGAGGGGCAGAGGCAGAAGAAAGAGAGAGAGATGATATGAGGAAGAGGAGAGAGAAAAGATGGGAGATTTGGGTGAGGCAGAAAAGAGAGATAGGGTATGAGGTAGAAAGAAAATAAAGAGAGAAAGAGAGAGAGAGAGAGAGAGAGAGAGAGAGAGAGAGAGAGAGAGAGAGAGAGAGTGTGCGTGTGTGTGTGACGAAACGACCTCAGTGTTTTCAGAAGTTAGTAGTGTAATCATTTCTTCTGGTTATAGATAGAGACAGAGAATTATATTTGCTATGCCCTAAGCCCGAATATTACTTAAACCACATAGGATTTAAAACTGTTTCCAGTCCAGAAAATGCAACCAAGCTTTGGTTAATATTACATAACATTACCTAATATAGCCAGCTAGTCTACCTGGGAAAATTAAGACATAGTGGCTGTAGGGTTTGATTGTAGAACTGAAGTGTCATATAATTATCTCCTTTAGGGACATGCAACTGCTCATAAAACTAATTATCCCCCCTGAGATTATCTTCCTTGAACCATCGACCACAGAGTCATAAAATGGTTACATAACCGGCCAGATTAGGCCATTTCAACAGATAAGATAAGGAGAATTAACTTGGTCAAGTAGGAAACACAATGGCTTCACTGACAGACTTTTCACATCTGTCAGTGACAGGGTCTGGGACTAGATGTTTACCACTTAAGAATGTTTGATCAGAGGGGTCAGTAAGAATTAACTGACAGGCACATTGATAGCTAATTTGATCTGCAAGGTACTTCAGGGGCGTGGCTTAGATCTTCTCAGGTAGGACAGGTTAAATACTAGAAAGGGGAGGAGTTTAACTTTGCAGATAGGTACTTATACTGCTAGCTCAGACACACAACAGCGCAAACAGCCCAGTCATAAGCACCTCTCGTCTTCTGCTCGATCGCTGACTCTCCATTCGTAGCCCGATTCTCGATAACCAGATACTCGACAACGATTCGCTTGACATTCGGCTGAGTCAGTCTTGACTGGTTATCGTAAATTAGGCGTTGCAGGTGGGGTTTCAGCAGCCAGTTGTAGCACCATTGTCTAGAGAACTGTGGAGAAAGCACGCTTGGTGTTCTTCTCAGAACACTCAACAAGCCTTGCCGACTCTGCAAGGATCTAGCCTTCGGTATAGACCGCCCCTGAATAGCATTTTTTTTTCCCATCATGGGAAAAAAACAGGCGCAAGCAGTCGCACCTAAATCAAAGAAGATGCCGGCCACACCCAACACATTGCCGCAGCGTCTCCACCAGCATCACAGGAAGGCGCCCCTATCGTGGCGCCTCCCTCACCTATCCAAGAGATGCCAGCACCTGAAGCCGCTCCCATCGTGGCGCCAGCACCTGAAACCGCTCCCATCGTGGCGCCAGCACCTGAAGCCTCCCCTATCGAGGAGCCAGCACCTGAAGCCTTCCCTATCGTGGAGCCACCACCTAAAGCCGCCCCAGTCGTGGCGCAAGGACCTACCAGCACCCACATACGAAGGCAGCAGCCTGGAGCCCTCAGCAGTGACATCATCCAGTGCTCACGCTACAACAGGGCGTGGCACACTGCCACAACTTGCCGCAGCAGCCCATCATGCCGATACTGCTCAAGAAGCCACGACTTCAAGGAGTGCTCGCTAGCCAAAATCGATAATGACTTCAAGAAGCCCAACATAAACCGGAAATACAGCAACTGCTCGGGTGCTCACAGTGCGAGGTACCTGGGTTGCCCATACCTTAAGAAGTGCAAGAGAGAAATGACAGCCGCCGTCGCCAGACACACATACCAGGCGCCCAGGCAACAAGAGGCAAGACAGCCGAGATACATTCCAAAAGACAGACAAACTGATAAGGCACGCTGGCACACGCTACCCAGCAAGCAAACAGACAGTCAGAAGACGCAGAAAACTTACAAAAAACCAGAGAGCTCCTAACCAGTATTAGAGCAACCCAGGCAGAAGAAGAATTACGCCACCAGTCAGAAAGAGAGGAGAGAAGGAAGGAGCTGGCCGAGATAATAACTGCACGGGAAGCCGCGCCAAGAAGCTGCCCAGCTAGAGAAAGCCACTGCAGAAGCCGTAACAGCAGCACAAGTAGCTAAGACAGAACGAACCCTGCTGGAGAAGGAAAGAAATGCCACAAAGAAGCCAAGTATCAACAGGGATGACAAAGGCGTCTCCACTGACAGCGCAACAATGAAGCATCAGGCACAAATGACTGAACCAGAATACAATGAAACCAACCAAGAAGAATCAGAAGAGATCCCAATCATCACAGACACAGAACAGTCGGAGAAATCATATCCGATGAAGAAGATACGCTAGCAGAACAGGAGTATCCGACTGCTAGCAGTGCACCGCCAAATAAACCCGCACCGCACTACTTCAATAAAGAACAATTCCTAAGAGACCAGGAAGAACACTAACAACTAACAACTAGAGAGCGACTTAGCTTGGTGCGCACAAACCACTCCCACCCAGAGAAACAACCGAGGAAAACGACGACGATGCTCCTAACGTAGCAGAAGCCAAAAACCTGAGTCGCCATCTTTCAGGAAAAGCCAGCCCGCTAAACGAAGGACGCCAGAACACCACCAGAACCTGACAGCAGAAGCCAGACCTACAGAAAGCCCCACCCATCCCGTTCCAGGCCGCCCCAGGCACATATGGCTGTCCTTTTCAGGACTGCCATTTCCAATCCCAAAAAACTGCAAGCCGCCCGCAAAGCCTATGCCGCTGACATGATGAAGCAAATGAAACGAAACTCAGGCGAAAATCATCGCCACAGAAGAAACAAACTTAAAACTCAGACAGCAAATAACCCGTCCTTGAAAAAACAGGCCGTCAGGCGGTTAAAAAAGGACAAAGCTTGTTATTTTTGTTTTCTTTACAACCAACCAGACACAACACACAAGTCGACAGACAGACCAGAGAGCAGACACAGTAAGCAGCTCATCTCGCCTGACCTGTGGTATGCACTATTGACTGTCCAAATCTTGATAGCTTTGCCTAGATATCTGGTTTGCTTGCATTGACAGCTGTAATCTATAAGGCTCCAAACATTGACAGGAAGTGCGCTAACTGTAAGGTCACCTGCAGCGCTAAATAACCTAGGCTGCCCTAGTCGGAAGAAGGAACAGCTGGCCTGGAAGGAAGCTATCTTGACCAACACCCCACTAAAAACGGTTAAGTTCTTTCTTTCCCAGCAAAAGTCGCACTCAGAACTGGCGTCAGAACTCAGAACCGCGCAGAAGTCAATAGTAAATCTAGCGACGACCATCACAACTAACCAGGTCTTGGCAGCAAACAACAGCCCAGCGGAAGACCACACCACATAGGCGGCTCAACAAGCGCTATTAAGGACCTGAAACAGGAGTTAAAAACTGAAAGGGAGCGGAATGACCTGAGAGAGGCAAAATTGGCCGGTGAAATCCTTGAAAAAGATGATTGATGATCTGACGAGTAAACAGCTAATACTCCACGAGGTAAACCACCTAAAGTCAGCATCACAAAAATCTGACAATCTCCCGCAGGCAGAAAGCCAGGGAGATTCAAAGGATTCCATCTTCAAAAAATTCCTAGAAATCGCCCACCAGCACACAGATGAACAAATAGAGAAGGTCATGGGCAAGATAGACAAAATGAACCTCAAACTATCCGAATCTGACATGGACACTTCAGAAAGCTCACACTCAAGCACGGTAGGCAACAAGACCTCAACCTCCGACAGCGAGCCAAAATCCGGAACAGAATAACATTTTAAACTTTCC